CTTTTTTGGGGGGTTTTAAAAAGTTGAACAATTTTATTGAAAAATTATATTTCAAAAATCAGACTGTATATGGGCGGCATTGTATTCCCAGCCAGTGACAACAAGGTGATGGTGTTTTCAGAGCTGAACTCTGGTTTAGAAGTTACCCTTGTAGAGGGGCTTTCCGAGCATAGCGAGGGTTAAATGCTCATTTGTATCCCGGGGGAGGAGGGGGGGGGGCATAACCTGCAGATTTAATGACCTGATCCCTGGCTCTCCTGGCAGCCGGCAGCGCTCTCCTCTTCTCTCTGATACTCCAGGTTGTGAGCAAGTCCTCAGCGTCCTGATTAATAATTCAGTGGCGTCACTGGGGTCACTGGAGATGCTGGAGACACTGGGGTCGCTGGAGATGCTGGAGACACAGGGGTCACTGGAGACACTGGGGTCACTGGAGTCACTAGAAATGCTAGAGACACAGGGGTCACTGGGGACGCGGGGGTCACTGGAGATGCTGGAGACACTGGGCTCACTGGAGACACAGGGGTCACTAGAAATGCTAGAGGCACGGGAGTCACTGGAGACACGGGTCACTGCAGGTGCTGAAGACGTTAGGGTCACTTGAGACACAGGGGTCACCGGAGATGCTAGAGACACAGGGGTCGCTGGAGATGCCAGAGACCCAGGGGTCACTGGAGACACAGGGGTCGCTGGAGATGCTGGGTTCACTGGAGATGCTGGAGACGCAGGGGTCACTGGAGATGCTGAAGACACAGGGGTCACTGGAGACACAGGGGTCACTGGAGATGCTAGAGGCAAGGGAGACACAGGGGTCACTGCAGGTGGTGAAGACGCTAGGGTCACTTGAGACACAGGGGTGACTGGAGATGCTGGAGACATTGGGGTTACTAGAGATGCTGGGGTCACTGGAGATGCTTGAGACACTGGGGATGTGGGGGTCACTGGAAATGCTGGAGACACTGGGGTCACTAGAAATGCTAGAGGCACGGGAGACACAGGGGTCACTGGAGACACAGGGGTCGCTGGAGATGCTGGGCTCACTGGAGATGCTGGAGACGCAGGGGTCACTGGAGATGCTGGAGACGCAGGGGTCACTGGAGATGCTCAAGACACAGGGGTCACTGGAGATGCTAGAGGCAAGGGAGACACAGGGGTCACTGCAGGTGGTGAAGACGCTAGGGTCACTTGAGACACAGGGGTGACTGGAGATGCTGGAGACATTGGGGTTACTGGAGACACAGGGGTCGCTGGAGATGCTGGGGTCAATGGAGATGCTAGAGACACTGGGGACGCGGGGGTCACTGGAAATGCTGGAGACACAGGTGCTGGAGACACTGGGCTCACTGGAGACTCTGAGGTCCCTGGAGACACTGGGGTTTCTGAAGGCACAGGAGCACTGGGACCACAGAGATTCTGAGGTCTCTCTCCCCGCCTCCCAGTGACAGTGCTGACTGCTTGAGCAGCCAATCACCAAGGCGAGGGGGAGCAAAGGGAAGGCATGCACAGCAGTTGGCATGCACAGCAGTTAAGCAAACCTGTTCCTGTACAAGAGGGTGGTGTCACCCTCCTAGCTGTGCTGTCTGGCAGAGGTGTGTAAATCACAAGACTGGCTGAACAATGAAAAATCCTTTGGCATATAAGACCGTTCACCTGCCTGTGATTCACCTGAGTTCAGTAAGAGTCATTTCATCACAAGGTGTGGTGGCTTCGCACAGCCCATTAACGCCTCTTACGTCCCCGATTACTTTAGTTGTCTTTGTCCATAAGTCATCTTTAATCTACATCCATTTACCAAAAATGATCGCTCAGTCATAAGATTTCCGTTTTGAGACTCGCATGTGACCGAAAACTCGTAGGAAGGAACATAAGGAGAGTCGGGTTTCATGAGAGCCAGTTAGTAGGCCCCAGCCAATCAGTGGGCTCCTGAGGTTATCCTGGAAAAGCTGCAACTGCGCTACACATTGACATTGGTGTCACAGGGACAGGAAGTAGGGGAAATTCTGCCCAATGAACACGCAACACGCCCACTTACATTACAAGAGTCATGTCATAGAGTGTCAGTGCTAAAAAGTCCCAAATTGTGTTGACGCTTGACCTCGAAATTTCAGTGTCATTGTTCCACAGCGTAGATCCAGGAAGGACACTCCCATCATACATCTGAGGCACTCCCTGGATTCTGTTTGCAGTCATTGTTGAGTAGCATTAGGTAGTCACCAGCGGGTTTTTACTGGCTTAGTAACTGACTGTTTTGGTTTATGAACAGATCGGATGGAGTGAAGCTACCTGAGAACAGACATCAAGAAACCAATCAGGAGGCCCTCATATCTTTTGAAGGGTTCCAGAGGGTTCCAAGAAGTCTCTCCTTCCACTAAAGATCAGAAACTTGGGTTGACTTGGTTACATGGCCTGACCGGCCTAGCCGTGGTCACCACTGGATACAATGGATACGGGTCAACAAAAGCTCATCCAACTCGACTCTTCTGATATTGCTGGAGCAGATGTTGGCCAACTGGAGAAACCAGAGAAGAAGAAGAAGTTGAGCTCCGTTAGCTTCTATGAACTGGACATTCTACGAGCCCCAAAGACCAATGAGGCCACGGGGGACACCAAGAGCACCAAGTCAGCAGATGAGAAAAATAAAGATGACTTCTCCTCCAGCAAGGATGCAGATCCGGGTTATCTAGATAAAGCAGAAGAGAGGACAACTCAAAATAACGAGGTTCCTGACTATTTAGCTCAAGCAGAAGAGAAGACCCCTCATGACGATGAAGAGCAATGCCTCAGCTACTTTGACCAGGCTTCCCGCCAGTCGCCCCCCTCAAGGCACAGGCACCGAATCCTATCTTGCCCTTGCAAAGAGTGCGTGGAAAATCTGCAAAACAGACGCGAGGAGGTTGAAAACGCGACCGTTATTGACAAACAGAAGAACGACGAGTTCTTGACCTGCGAGGACAGTGCTTCCCTCAACTCCAACCGGAGCAGGAGTTCTTCAGAAAAGTCAAGCCACACAAACTCGTCAGAGGAGGAACCTACGGGCAACAGGTTGGATGCCCAAGTGACTTTACCGTACCCGGACAACAGCCGACCACCAGGATGCATCACGAGGCTGAGCAACGATGGTCTCTATGAACCCAACGAAGACCTGGCGGTGAAGGCCAACAAAGACGAGGAGGACAAGATATCGCAAGTGGTCAGCACAGCTTTCTTTGTGCAGCATCCGGACGAGAAGATGGCCCAGCAGAAGAGGGTCCAGTTGGAAATGGAGGAAAAAGTGGACATTGAGAAAGGAGAGGCGGAATGTGAGCCCCTCATCCGTACCATCCGAAGAACAGCCGAGGAGGAGCACCCAGATCCAAGGATCTGTCATTGTAACAGGGGCTGCTTGAAGATTGTAGGCTCCTTTGTGGCCTCCATGATTGTCTTTCCGGCTTTCCTGTACGGGGCGTATGCTTGGCTGCCTTTTAATACCCCACTGATGCCCGACATACCCACCAGGCTGATCTACACCTTGCGGTGTGCGTCCTTTGCCACATTCCCCATCATTCTAGGTGAGTGGAGATGAGAAGAGTCCATCAGCAGAGCAGAGTATTTCAGGGGAGGAGAGTTATATAGAGGAAAGAGCAAGGTCCTCCAGTAGAGTATTTCAGGAGAGGAGAGTTATAGAGGAAGGAGCAGAGTCCTCCAGCAGAGCAGAGTATATCAAGAGAGGAGAGTTATAGAGGAAGGAGCAGAGTCCTCCAGCAGAGCAGAGTATATCCGGAGAGGAGAGTTATAGAGGAAGGAGCAGAGTCCTCCAGCAGAGTATTTCATTCTCTTTTCTATCCTCAGGTGTCATCATCCATGGAATCTCACGTCTCTGTGCCGCCTCTTACGACCCCTTTAAACCCAGAGAGCGTGAGGTGACCATACACAGGCGGTTTGTTAAGCAAGGAACGTTCCTCTTTGTCCTCTACTTCTTCAACCTCTCTGTGCTGGCCACCTACCTGTCCCAGGACCACCTGAAGGTTATCCCACTCCTCACTTGCCTCTTCACCCTGGCTCAGTAAGTTCCATTCGTCACACGGGGGGGGGGGGTCATGTGACCACATCGTTCATCTTCCTGAGATCCCATCTGTTATGGAAATGGGATTCATAGCTGGACGCCCCAGCCAACCTCCTGCCACACCTAATGATGGCCTACACCCCACCTTCATCCTGCTGAAACCAGGAGGGGGGGGCTTCGGTGGTGGGATCTTCACACAACTACTAAGTCCAATTTTTTACGCTGACCCTTTCCTAAATTTGCAACTCCGCCTCTTTTCTTTCCTCCCATTTTACCTAATTCCTTACAGTTTTTTGGATGCTTCACCATTTGACTTTTGGGTTCCTTGCCAAGGGCAAGGGTGACGTAGTCCTCCTCGGCCACCAGGCCCTGGGAACAAGGTCACCCATCCCAGACGCATCTGAGATGTGCATCCCAAAAGGGATAAGATAAAATAAATGGCTAAAATAAAAAATAAAAATTTAGAAAAAAAAAATGATAAATAAAATACTAAGATAAAATAGATAAATAAAAATAAATAAATACATTTAATAAATAAAATAAATACTTTTTTTGTGTGAAAATTTTGAAAAAATAAATAAAAAAAAGGATAAAATAGATAAAAATAAATACATTTAATAAAAAACAATATATAATGTTTTTTTTTTCTAAAAGCAGAAACCCTCTAGAATAAAATGGTGGCAGTAATCAGTCATCTTCTGGCCTTAAATGTGCATTTTAACTTATTTGCAAAAAAATTAATTGGCTCGGGCGGCAAAATGGTTAAACTGTGTAAGGTTGGTTTTTAAAAAAAAAAAAAGACACCTATATCACGCTTTATACAGACTGCTAAATCTTTTTCTTGTATCCCCCCCAGGCTCATCTACTGGCTGTCCTTTGCGGTCAGCCGATCGTTCCGCGGTTTCGGTTACGGCCTGACCTTCCTCCCTCTCCTCGCCATGATGGTCAGCAACCTCTACTTCATGTTTTTGGTGGAGCCGGAGAAGATGGTTTATCTGGGGAGCAGATACGCCCCCCAAAACTAGCCCTGAAACCATTTTATCCCTAGCACACAGAAGGACTGGACCGTGGACAGCCAATGAGGACACTGCGGACATTCCTAAATGGCTCACGTTGGGTTCTTATAACTGCCGTGTCCTCGCTATGTTACATTGGAGGTAATAACTCCCCTCATGCTGACCTCACTCCTCTTTGGGATCCTGAGGGGACCCCATCACTGGATGGCCAATACGAAGTGTCTACGTCATGCCAGCCGTGACTTGGGAACCCAAAGAAGAGCGGAGGGGGTCACATGACCGTGCCTTTGGGTTAGTAAAAGGGGCATTTAGATCAGGGGGGCGGATTTTGGGGGGATCTGAAGATGGACTATAAAGAAAAAAAAAAGCGCTGTATTTGTGCGTCTGCGTTTGTAATTATCGTCTGTTTATGAAGGAAGGGGACAACAAAGTTTTTTGGGGGAGGACGTCGGTCGGATGAAGCAATTCCCTCTCATGTCCTGTCAAGTCTGTTCCCCGGCACTATAATCCCGCCGCAGTGCCCGCGCCCTTCCACTGGGTGCTTCCACCTCAACAACACAGCAAATCCTCCCCGCCCTGGTGAATTCGGGAGGGGTGTTATTAAACATTTAATGGAATCAGGTTACGGATTAGGAGCGCAGCCAATTTGTAGTCAATGCCGGAGAAAATCATTTTGTAAAGAGCGCAGGAATCGTGTTTTTATGACTTTTATTTACTTTTTATTTTCTAATTTCTATCTTTTTTTTATTTTTTTCCTTCCTTTTAGAACGGCACAATTTTGTATTTTCATTGTGCGTGCTGTAAAGTATTAATCTTTTATCGTTGTCTGCTTTCTCCAGTTTTATTTGTCTTCCATTCTTACATTTTCTCTAGATCTGTCCCGGCTGTAAGAGCCCGTTTACCGGCCCGTAGAAGAGATCTGGCGGCAGCTGAGCCGCCAGAATCGCATCTACTGTTGTGCCGACAGTCGGCTTTACAAATGTAAACAGAGTCCCAGTGTTCTATCAAAGTTTGTGACTGTGTTCGAATGTGTGACCGGTGACATGTTCACATATTTCAACGTAATCCCTCCCATTTTTTCGGCGGTGGAATGCGTGACCACCAATAGGTGAAGAATTCCAACGCTTTCTCAGCTGTTCCAGGGCAGTTCGGCATCGCAGATGGTATGTGCAGGAGAACCGATCTGCCCTGGAACAGCTGAGAAAGCGTTGGAATTCTTCACCTATTGGCGGTCACGCATTCCACCGCCGAAAAACTGCGAGGGATTACGTTAAAATGTGTGACCACGTGACCGGTCACACATTCTAACCAAGTCACAAACTTTGATAGAACACCGGCAGCAAAAGCCGCCAGGAATCTGTTTAAACGGGCCGGGTGTACGTCACTGGTCATGAAGGGGAGGAGAATGTTGTTGTTGATTGGCATTTATATATACGCAGTATAGGAATGTGATTCTCGTGTCACATTCCTCCTCACTTAGAATGCTGGTTTCTATTCATAGATGTAATGACACGTGTACACCTCACTTCCTGTACAGAAAGACACGGCGCCGGCATCTGACAGCTACAATATGAATGCAAAGTGTAAGGAAAGTCCTCGGAGTGCTCAGTGAGGACTGTGGGAGTGCCGGTGTTCTATCGAAAGCTCCAACTGGTCGAAATCTCCAACCACCTCACTGCCGGGTACTTGTAAGCTGGAGATTTCGACCAGACGGCGTTAGACAGCAAAACACAAAGACTGGCGGAGCTCTGTACAGCTGCATTGTAATATTCAGCAGGTGCCAAACTCAACGCCTAGTCTGAAAACGCTACGCGCGCATGCGCACCGCAACTGTACGGAGCTCCAGTCTTTCTGAGCACCGGAAGTGAGGTAGTTGGAGATCTCGACGAGTTGGAGCTTTCGATAGAACACCGGATTCCGGAGACAACACACAATGTAGTAAAGGGGCTGATGACCTTGTGTTCAGTTTCCTTTACGTTCTGCAAAGGTCCAACCATGGAGCAGGAAAAGAGGTCAGACGCTTGTCCTCAGCTGTAGGGAAATGGTTTGTGACCTTCAGTGCAGTCCAGTCCTTTGTAATGGGGATGAACCAATGGCGGACATTTATCAAGGACAACCATGGCTGCCCCCCATAGATACAGTGGAGAAAAAAACGCGTAGACGTGGAGGGACAGGCAGAGCGTAATTCACATTTATAGTATCAGAGTTATTTATAAAACTTCCACCAGGTGGCGCTGAGGAGGATAGGAATTTCCTTCACTCCTCAGGGCCTGTTCACACGACGTCCGTTTTGTGTGCTGACCGGCTCCGTACGCTGCCGCACTCAAAATGCATCCCAATGTATCCCTGTGTGTTTTATGGGCTACAGTTCTCACGTGCGCAGTCCGTTCAGCTTACGACAGAAAAATACTGCATGTCACATTTTGTCAGGTCCGGAAACGCAAACGCGTCAAAAACGCACTGCGCTGCAGCTAACATACTTAGCCCTCGTTCACACCTGAACGTTTTGTAGCGCGTTCTACGCTCGACGAACGCTCTGCAAAACGCTCAAAAAAATATAAATCCCATTGTTGTCAATGGTCTCGTTCCCACCTTGCCGTATTTCCGCCCGTCCCTAACGCGCTACAAAACGGCCCACGCCTGAAAAGGTACAGGTACTACTTTGGGCCGTTTTGTTGCGCGTTTCCATTGGGATACAGCCAAGTAGCCTTCGGAAACGCGCGTTTGTCGCGCAACTTTTGTCGCGACAGACGCGCATATGCAATACGCCTAGGAGTGAACGAGACCTAACAGCCCCACTCCAGCAAAAAAAAAAAAATTGCTGCTGGAACGCATCAAAAACCCACTGCATCCACGTCTGCTGATCAGGACCTGATCTCATGTGAACAGTCCCTCAGGGTCCACTAGGACAGTCTTTCTAAACCTGGGTGCCGTGGCGCAGCGGGGGGCCTTATGGCTTCCTCAGGGGTGCCTCAAAAGTTTCTGATGGTAGGACTCTAAAGTGAAGGGAGAAATCTGATATAAAAAGGCAATTCCATTATAAAGGGG